ATCATATCTTTTGAATTGGATGTGTATGTAATGTAATCATATGCTTCTAGTTACTTATTCTTTTTAAAAGTGGTCTGAATATCGGTCATCCCGCTATCCGCTATGCAACTAGAGCGTTTTCAGGACTGGCCACTACGCTCTGCTATCCGGGTTGACAACACCGGCCACCACTCAGAATGCAGAAATATACACTCAACAACAGTTGCACTAAAACTGAAATATGAAATTTTTCTAACAATATTACTAAAATACAACTAAGAAAATTGTGATTAAAGTTACCGTAAGTACGCTGTTGTGAAATTCAATCCTCCACTCCCAGAAACTTCCACCCACCAACGTAGCTGTTATAAGCCCTAATTTGGATTGTTTTCTAAATCGATTCCATAATAATCAATAACCATACAGTTCACTTTTAGTTAACATTAATAGTTTTACTCTGAAACAACTAGCCAGCTAAATTCATCATCGAGGCATTAACGAAATCAGATTATCACATAGATAACCAAACACACGAATACACAAAGGTTTCACCCAGCAAACATTGATTCATACAAATGTAATGACCCAAATTGAACCCTACTCGCAACCACTTCTGAAAACAAGAAATTCCAGCTGAATCACAAAATGAACAACATCGAATTTTACTTCATAAATTACTGATTAGTTCATCTGCAGAATCAGCGGGTATTCAACTATTAATAAGCGTAAGAGACAGTAAACGGTAGGAACGTTTTAGCAAGAAGGGGATTATATTCAATAAAAACCCGTTTCAGTTGATGTCGGAGTCGTCGAAATCATCTTCAAAGGAGTTGAAAAAATCTGCATCTGCAAGGCGGAGGTGCTCGGCAGTGCCGCCGAGGGGACCCTCGCCAAATATCTCGGCGTCATCTACGTCCATCGCCATGGTTGATCCCATCTCATCTGTCTCAATGAAAAAGTCTACCGCCATGGGCTTCATCTTCAAAACTCTCGTTCTGGATCCCTTCCGTTATCTGACGGCTTCGCTGATAAAATCTCTGTTTGCGCGATTGAAGAAGTAGAATCCGGGCTTGGCCTTTGGGCTAGTACATATCTACACACGGGTACTAAACCATACCGTACCAAGGTAAATAAAGGGAACCTTATCTAATTTGGTTCGAATTTCTTTCAAATGTATTAGTGCAAATTACCCGTATAATCTACTTTTGGGTGGAAGATATCATTTATGCTCCAATTGATCTTTCTTTTCATTTTTGACTTTTCTCTTTTCAATATTGGTTTTTTATTTCACTTTTAGATTGGATTCCTGCCCGTCCCTCCTTCTTGTTTCCTATTTCCATATTTTCATTCTTTTCTACGCAGGAAGCCATCGTCACGTCAAGAGCGTCAGCTAAGGGTAATACGAACGTCTCCAAGGACGTACGTCCCCAACAGGCCAACAAGGCTCAATTGCAAGACGTACGTACTGAACCTTAGCTTTAGGAGCAGACAGGACACAGGAAACAAGCTCATGGTGACAAACGTCTCCACCCCTTGGCAGGAAGCCAAGATCCTGGCAGGACACAGGAGGCAAGCTCTTGGGAACGAACGTCCCCACTCCTTGGCAGGAAGCCAAGATCCTGACGGGAGGCAGGAGGCAAGCTCATGAGGACTAACGTCCCCACCCCTTGGCAGGAAGCCAAGATCCTCGCGGGAAGCAGGAGGCAAGCTTATGGGGACGAACGTCCCCACTCCTTAGCAGAAAGCCAAGATTCTGGCGGAAAACAGGAGGCAAGCTCATGGGGACGAACGTCTCCACTCCTTGGCAGGAAGCCAAGATCCTGCGGGAAGCAGGATGCAAGCTCATGGGGACGAACGTGACAAGATCATGTGCAATTTCTACCATCTTGGGGTTTCTTAATGAAAGAAGCAGGTCCTGCTTTACGTAGTGTTAGTTATGTTCTAGCGTCGGTTTTAGGCTTACGTGCTCAAGGTTCATTTTTGAAAAGAAAAACTACGAGCAACCTCTTTTTGAAAAATGTTTTAAGAGGTGATAAAAGTGATATTGTTTCCACTTTTTGTTTATTTGTGAAAAAATTCCAATTTATTATAGATATTTTCTTTTGGATTGTTTTCAGTTCAAAATCATACCATATCAAATTAAACCAGACTTCCATAGTTATAAAATACAGTACATAGAGACCATACATTTATCAACCCAGATCAATTCAGGCCAGGCTAGACCATCAAATTTCAGTCTAAAAGAAAACATTCTATATCGAACTGCAGCTAAGAAAAACTGAATAAAATTGAACCTAACTAAAAAAATCAATAAAACCTTCATATGCTAGTTATTAATAAATAATGAATCCAAATCGAACCAAATCTAACTAAAACAAACGGAAGCAAATGAAAAATAGTATGATTTTTGTTCGTAATAATTCTTCAAATCCGTTTCAAACCAAACCAAGTCGAAAATGATAAAAATCAAACCGAAAACGAGCATGCCCATCCTTATTTGCACGGATACTCCGATACTCTCATACTCCTCATATGGATGTTTTTACTTGGACTATTTTCAATCCCAGATCAGGTAGGCCAGACTAGATCAGAACATACTTGGGCAATTATAAAAGCACAGAGATCAGACATTTATGATACCAAACCATACAAGGCTAAACTAGACCAGACCATACTAGATCAGATAAATATATAATTGTAATTCATTGAGATCTTTAGAATGTTTAAAAGTTATATAATAAAGTACACAATATGTTTATAAATAATACTACCACCCTCCTATTTCGCACTCTGTGTATCATAATTGTATCAGGGATTAATAAATTTTTTGAATGTTAAGAAAATTAAAAAATAAAGGGAAAAGGTGCAAATAAGCCCTCGAACTAACCGAAAAAGTGCAAATCATCCCTTTTATAGGAGGCTCTATATGTCCGTCACCATTTGGGGTGGTTACCGGTGGAATCCTAAAATATAGAACTTGATCAAATAAAATAAGGCTTATTACACACAAAAATCCAACGTTTAAAATTCGTGACAAATCTAGTCTATCGTATACATAATTACTTAAACACAACTATCCTTTCAATATCCAAGACAAATATATGATCCGTCCAAGCTGATTCGTTAGTGTCCGTCTATGTAGCACCGATACCGGTATGCGGAATTGCGGAAACGTGGACACGGGTACGGGGATACGGCAAAACAAAAAAAAAGTAGGATACGGATACGGGGCCATATTTATAAATATTAAAAGTTATGGGGGTGTATTTACAAATATTAAGAGTTACAGGGGTGTATTTATAAATATTAAAAATAGATTTTTTTGGAAATATATACATAATATACAAAAGATGATAATTTTTTTGGATATATATATATACACATATATATCCATCTATCAATTCAGGACCCGAAAGATAGATGGATTATCAATTTGGGACCTGAAAGATGAGATCTATCGGTATATGACCCGAATGATGAAAAACTATCAATATAGGACCTAAAATTTCATTGGTTTTGATTTATTTAATTTTTTATTAATTCCATTGCTATTTTTTGATAAACTTTTCTTCACAAAAGTTTATTAGTTTCATAAAACTAAATAATATTTAAAAATTTTAAGATAAAAAAAATAATAAGTTTCGGACAACTTAGGTCCTAAATTGATAATTTCCAATCATTCAAGTCCTAAATTGATAGTTTTCCATCATTCGGATCCTATATCGATACATTTCATCTTTCAGGTCCCGGATTGATAATTCATCTATCTTTCGGGTCCTGAATTGATAAAACTCCTATATCCTATATATATATATATATATATCCTATATATACATATATACTCATTCATTACATATACATCATAATATTTCTCATATACACTAGTGCATCTCGAAATATAAATGTAGACATGTAGTCGATAAGTCATTAATTTAAAATGAGAAATAAGTCAAACAACTACAATCTTGAAATTAAAAGTGCAAGTACCAAAGTTCTAGAATAATTAAGATAGAAAACAATATTTTAAAAGCTCTAACTTCTAATACATATTTTCACTGGAAGTATTAATTTCCAGGAATAATATCATCTTCCAAAAAAACGGCCTCCAATTCTGGTTCATCTATGGAGAGGTTGGCAAACTCAAGTACTCCTATATCCTTCATGCTCCCAAAATCATCTCCACCAACATCCCACATTTTACTATTGTCATTCATATACTGCTTAGAAGCTCGTGATAAAAGATGAAGATTGTTATGAACAAATAATAAACCCTCCGCTCGCTTTGGAAGTAGTCTGTTTCTTCTAAATGAATTAATAAAAGAATAAGAACTCCAATTCCTTTCTGAGCATGATGATGAAGTAGGTTGTCCTAGTATTTTGAAAGCTAATTTTTTAAGAAAATGTGCATTAGAACCAAAGCATGCCCACCACTTCTTAGGTTCCATGTAATATCTGCTTGCAATAGATTCAGGATCCTCAAATTTTGGGTTTTTTTATTCAAAAAAGTTGATACGGGTATCCGTCAGGATACGAGTATCGGAAATTATTTCAAAAAATTACAAGAAAATGGAAACTTTTAAAAATTACAGATACGGCACGGGAACGTACGGTACGGGTATCCTAGAGTATCGGATACGGGAACGTATCCGATACGCCGATACGCTACCCTAGGGAAGTATCCGTGCTTCATAGGTGTCCGTTAAGTGCCTATGTGTCTTGTACACCTAGGATTTAGCCTTCTATTTATATAGTTGATGTGTCATTTCTAATATTTATTTCTATGTAAAAAGAACGTGGATTCATTTCTCTCCTTTGAGTTGAGAACACAAAGCCTACCTCTCTGATATTTAAGCTACTTCTACAATGAAAACAAAAAACAAAGAATCTATCAAGTGCTCATATTGGCAGGCGAGGTTTGTCTGACAAAGTAATAAGTTGATTCTTATATAGCATAGTAGGTGTTTGATGAAATGTGTGAATGAAGTATAATGATTTCTAAGTTAAATAAAAGGATTGTGGATATTTTTTATGGATGGAAGATCTGCACCAAGACGTCATTGAGCCTCTCGTGAAGCACGTTGATGAACTACATAAAATAAATACCTTAAATGACAAGGTTAAAGAATTGGAACTCAAATTGAGAGAGTTTGAAGAAATGATAGTTTTAGATTCCAATAAAAGAAATCTAATGAAGGAAGAAATTCAACAAGTAAAGATTGCATATGCTCACATGGAATCTCAAAAACCTATCTCCAAAAACAACAATTGGAGGGGCAAATGGATGGATGTTCTCATGACTATATCTAAATGTCATCAATACTCACAATATACATTAAAATATCAAAGTCTCTTACAAAATGACTAAAACATTGTATGACTCCAAAAGATTAAGTTTCAATAACATGTATGGTTCCAAAATATCTTAAAAATCTTGAACATATATCCAACCTTCAATTTTTGAACTCCAATAACATGTATTGTTCAAGATTTTTAAGATATTTTGGAACCATACATGTTATTGAAACTTAATCTTTTGGAGTCATACAATGCTTTAGTCATTTTGTAAGAGACTTTGATATTTTAATGTATACTGTGAGTATTGATGACATTTAGATATAGTCATGAGAACATCCATCCATTTGCCCCTCCAATTGTTGTTTTTGGAGATAGGTTTTTGAGATTCCATGTGAGCATATGCAACCTTTACTTGTTGAATTTCTTCCTTCATTAGATTTATTTTAATGGAATCTAAAACTATCATTTCTTCAAACTCTCTCAATTTGAGTTCCAATTCTTTAACCTTGTCATTTAAGGTATTTATTTTATGTAGTTCATCAACGTGCTTCTCGAGAGGCTCAATGACGTCTTGGTGCAGATCTTCCATCCATAAAAAATATCCACAATCCTTTTATTTAACTTAGAAATCATTATACTTCATTCACACATTTCATCAAACACCTACGATGCTATATAAGAATCAACTTATTACTTTGTCAGAAAAACCTCGCATGCCAATATGAGCACTTGATAGATTCTTTGTTTTTTGTTTTCATTGTTGAAGTAGCTTAAATATCAGAGAGGAGGCTTTGAGTTCTCAACTCAAAGGAGAGAAATGAATCCACGTTCTTTTTACATAGAAATAAATATTAGAAATGACACATAAACTAATTAATTAGAAGGCTAAATCCTAGGTGTACAAGACACATAGGCACTTAACAGACACTAACGAATCAGCTTGGACGGATCATATATTTGTCTTGGATATTGAAAGGATAGTTGTGTTTAAGTAATTATGTATACGATAGACTAGATTTGTTACGAACTTTAAACGTTGGATTTTTTTGTGTAATAAGCCTTATTTTATTTGATCAAGTTCTATATTTTAGGATTAGAACATGAAAGTAGTAGTCCATCATATTTAATTGGAATGATAGCAATTTATTTATATACCTAAGACCAGCTCTACATTAATTAATTTTATTCAAATATATTTCAATTTGTCTTAAAAAATATTATGTATGCTTTAATAAATCCATATGTGTGTGTGCTACGCTCCTGCGGAACTCTAGGATTGCCGCCCTTAGTTAGTCCGTCATCTGCTCCTGCGGAACTCTAGGGTTGCCGATTAGGCAACGCTTAGCTTCAACTTGTCCGGCGGTGATTGCCCAGCCATTACGGCACCGAGGCTTATCCAGTTATTGTCAGTGAGGAGGATTAGCAGGCGGCTGGAAGGAGTGTCGCGGTTTAGGCGTCCCAATATTACGGCTACTTTGACGGGCAGATGACGGAGGGAGGTCGACTTTGGTGAGACAGACAGGGGCTCGACGAAGAAAGGCGATAGGTTCGATTGTGCGCTGGTTGTGCAGGCTTTTGTTTTTTGCTTTCTCTAATTTGTAGATTGTGGTCAGTCATGGTTTGCTTGTCCCTCGCTTCACGACTCAAAGAGTTGAGGATTGGCGTTTGGCAACGTGAATGTATGAAAGGGAGATCGACGAACAAGAAGCAAGATGAGGAAGCAGATGCAGTACTGTTGGTCCGACCTCCTCCTAAACCGCCGCCACAGAAGTGGAGGATGGTGGTGATTGGAAAGTCGAGACAAGACTTTTATTTTTTTGTTGTTATTTATTTTAATTGTCTGGATCATGCTATTTACTTTCGTTTGTTTTTTGTTTTCTGCTGTAAGATTGTGGATTTGGATATGGGTGATGGAAGGACTACGTTAATCATCTTTGGCTCATTTGTGCACATTAATGGATCAATGAGTTATATTGCTTCTGTCGAGGTGATAAACTCTGAGTCTGATTCGAGGGACGACGGTTTACAAGAGTCTTTTTGTCGGTTTACCTACTATCTGAATGATGTGTTACCAATTTAACCCTATTTCTTCCACACACAAAATCCATATGTGTGTACTATTTCAAAGGGTTGTTCGTAGCTGCTTGATAAAATGATACACGAACACAAACATTGGCAAGAAAAACTTGGGATCAGTTTGATCCGTTTAAATTAACATTTCAGCATTTGTATATAAAACCAACTAATCTTAACTTAGGACCCGTTTGGTAATGGCCGTAATGACTGAAATTGCTGAAGTGAAAGTGTGGTTATATTTTGACTGAAGTGGCTGATTGAATGTATATTTACCAAAAAGGGTATTTGCTTCGTTGTATTTAAAATATATGTATGCTAACTTTGCTGGTAAAATCTTTTTATTAAAATGAGTAAATTTATATTAAAAATTTCACTTTTATTAGTTACACTATTAAGAAGCTAACATGTATATAAATAATGAATGATGGAGTTTGCATGCAGTGCCTAATTAACATGTTTTGTTAATTATTTATTCCTTGTAAAAAAGAACTTTATCAATTCAGGACCCGAAAGATAGATGAATTATCAATATGGGATCTAAAAGATGAAATGTACCGATATAGGACCTGAATGATGAAAAACTATCATGATAAAACCTGAATGATTTAAAATTATCGATCTAGGGCCCAAGTTGTCATGAATTTTATTAATTTTTTTATTTTGAAAATTTTAAATATCATTTAGTTTTATTAAACTAATAAACTCTTGTAAAGACAAGTTTATCAAAACAAGCAATGGAATTAATAAAAAATTAAATAAATCAAAACCTATGAAATGTTAGGTCCTAGATTAATAGTTTTCCATCATTCGGGTCCTACACTGATACATATCATCTTTCAAGTCCCGTATTGATAATTCATCTATTTTTCGGGTTCTGAATTGATAAAATTCCTTGTAAAAAAGGGTACGGTGGCATGCAATTATTAGCTGCTTTGGTTATTTAAACGCCGTATGTAGCGAGTGATTTTAACATTATATACGTGTTTACGCAGACATCCAATTCGGAGAAAACGTCGACTAGGAAAAGTTTACGCAGTCGGAAAGAAGACAACTAACATATGTGTTTCAAAGGGTTAAAGAAGGATAAATATGTCTTTTAATAGGTTAATGGTATAATAATAGAATTCAGCCCAAAAAGTAAGAGTTAGGTTACTTTTTCTACCTATAATAAAAACCAGCCAAATCAGCCCATTTAACGGAGTTCTATTTTGTTCACCCCTTCATGGAGGGTGAACATCACTCCCTCCCTTCAATACATGCCACTTGTCATCACAATTATTTTTTTTCTTAAAATTAATATAATTTTTTATATATAATCTAATTAACATAATTTTTATATATAATCTAATTTTTAACAAAAATAATATCAGATTTAATAACTTTTAAGATCTTTCCAATGGTATCCATATTGCACATATAAAAAATTGAAAAATATATATTTTTTTTACATTTATTTTAGGTCATTTTTTTTTAATTTTACATATACAATATTGGTTTCATATGAAAGATCATAAAAATTAAAAATATTGATATATTTTTTGAAAAAATGAACCAAAAATGCAAAAGCTATAACAATTGCAATATTTAAAAGAATTGACATGCCATGTGGCAGCCCAATAGGGGTGGGGTGATGTTCACCCTCTTTTGAGGGGTGAACAAAATTGTTCTTTATTTAAGGGGTATTTAAGGTGTTTGGTGATTTTTTTTGTATATTAAGGCTTATAAGCCAATTTCTGATCTTCCAAACGGCCACTTAATAATTATAATTAAATAATAATGACACGACCCAATACACATTTTATGACACACAATTTTTGCTAGTATATAACAGTATATTTAAACACGAATAGTTAGTTTTTTCATCCAATTTTTTTTAAACATTTTAACTTCAATATCACCAGAGATATTCATGCACACTTGTGGATTAAAAGTGATGAGAATTAACAACTTAGTTGATGGTTCATGGCTTAGACAAATTCAACCTGTTGAAAACACATTTATGGACAAGCATCTTTTGCGCATTGTGCCCACATCAACAATTCACGCATGACCAATACCATCTTCTATTTAAGCAGCATTTACCACCCATAACTTTTCACCAAAGCAGTTGTGTTATTTACTTTTCCATAAACAAAAAGAAGAAGAAGAAGGAATTAATTAATTAATTAATCAATTCAAGATGTCGAGCTCTCAGTTCAATGCTGGTCAGTCACGTGGTGGAACTCAGGTATATAAATAAATTGCTACAATATACGCCCTTGTACACACCTTATACACACCATGTTTGTGAAGCTTTTTTTTGTCTGTGAATCCGGTTCACAGACAATATTTTGTTTGTGCAAAACATTGTCTGTGAATCGATGTTCCCAGACAAAAAAAAAAGCTTTCACAGACATATGTGTGTACAAAAGTGTGTATAAGAGTGTGTACAAACATCATTTTTGGTCATTCCATTTAAATATGGATCTCAGTGTCATTCTGGAATCATATTATAATAATGTGAAATTATTAGACTGCTCTTATTTTGAAAATTGGCAATTAATTTTGTTTGTAAATTGTAATTAAATTGAAAAATGCAGGCCAAAACTGAGCAATTTGTTGATTCGGCAAAGAGCACTGCAGATTCCGCAATTAACAAAGCTGAAAATGCAACTGAAAATGCCCAGCAATCCGCTCAACAGCGAAGGGAAGAACAAGGCGGAAGTGGATTTCTTCAGCAGGTACATTTATCACACTTATAATGAGCCAAATCAAGTTAAAATGTTAATTCAAAGTTTTAGTGTTTTTATTAATAATTTTCAACCATTGATTATTGAGATCCTAAATAAATCATAAAATTTTAAAAATTTACGTCCCACATGTTTCTTGCAACAGTTTGACTTTCACGTTTGACAACACGCAACTTTGACTGTAATTATATTTAATTATGTATTAGTAAACATTATATAAATATGATATTTTGGAAATTCACATTGGAAGGTATTTAATAACATTTTATACGTAATAATTTGATTATGCATATTAGTAGAAAATCGTGGTCAAAGTATATTAGTTGACCCGTCCCAAGTTTCTATCAATTTATGATTGACTAGCAATA